AGATGTGACGGCCAGGCGGGCAAGGTCGCCCAGATCCAGGGACTTGCAATGCAGGCGGAAGCGGAGGGCGAACTTGGTGCCATGGCACTGGCTCGACGTCAGCGTCAGCTTCACCTTGTCGAACGTGGCCTTGTACACCCCCTCGTGCCAGTCGCACTGGTTCGGTACACACACATCACGTGATCAGGAACAACATCAACATTCACTGAAGGTCCAGTTGCCCGATCAAATTCGGCCGTGTGTTACACCTGAAATCTATGTAACAGAATCAAGTCCTAGCCCGGTTGTTGTTGATGATTGGCTGGCTATGGCACTAAAGTGGACTTGCCTGGCGTGGTCTCTTACCTTCTCTAGCCGCACCGTGGACTGGCCATCGACGCCGCGCGGCAGGGGGGCGCCGCTGTCGAGCCTCACGACCGAGGCCACCACGAACACGCCCCCGCTCGGCCTAGTCGAGTCCAGCGCAGCGTAGAGGCGCCTCAGGGACTCGCCCTCGGCCGACGACGACGAAGATGAAGAAGACGAAGAAGAAGAAGAAGAAGATGGGTCCTCGAGCGGAGGTACGACGAGGTAGACCGAAGGGCGGGGCTTGACGAGCCGCTGGCACACGGCGCGGGCAGGCGGCTGCACCCCCACCTGGAACAGTACGCGCTCGTCTCGTCGCGTCATCACATCAAGTAGCCCGGTGTGAGTCACCGCTTGCATCTTCTTCGTCTTTTGTATATCTTCGGCAACTCGGTGCGTGGATGGTGGTAGTTTGCGGCACAGACAACCTGCGGGGCCGGCAGTGCGGGCCAACGATCGCTGACGGCGTTATATCCACCAATGGGCGCCCTGGGCACCAAAAGATCCCACGTCCCACGCCATTGGCCCAAAATCCAGCCTGCAGGCCCATGCCTGAAGGGAAGACGTGCCCACCAACCACCTCGAATAGATCCCCAGCACCATCGGCGCCCACATCAGCAGAAGCAGCAAGCCCGTTGCGTGTCACCGCTTGCACCCTTCTTCTAACGTTCTTTGTATGGTAACAGAGCAACTGACGCCTTTATCTGATTGGTTCGAACAATATACAAAAATGCCTATTTATATCATATTTGGACAATTTATTTGTATTTTTTAATTTATATAATAACAAATAAATAAATAAATAAACTCAAGAAGAGGGAACGAAGAGGCGGAGGTCGTGCAGGAGCGTGGGAGGGAGAGCGAGGAACGGGGCGGAGGTGAGGAGCTGGGGACGGGCCGCGACCAGGGAGACGCACGCCGATCGGAGGCGCCGCGCGCCGTAGCGCTCGGCGGCCTCGAGGAGCTGGGCCACGTTGTCCTCGGCCACCGCGGCCGCCACCACCTCCTCGCAGAGCGCCTTCAGCCGCTCCAGCATGTACTCTACGCATGCACACATGATTCGCTCGATTCAGAGACACACACGCAGCACCGCACACGCGCACACGTCACCGCACACGCACACCAAGCTGTGCGTACCATCGGCGGCCTGCAGGAGGTCGAGAGCGTCGTCGGGCTCCACTTCGACCCTGTCCGTGTACAGAAACTGCGCACACGCACACAAA